GGCAGCTGCTGCCTGCCACTTCATTCGACCTTTCTGAGTTTGCTCTTCATAACGGCTACAGAAATGGATGTTTTCCCCCAATATTCAATTTTTTGAAGCAAATTGCTTCCTTTCACCGTTCTTAGCTGCAAACAGCAACTTTAGGCTTGACAGGGAGCTCCGAATTCCCAACCCTGGTAGCTGTGTTTGTTCCCCAACACAGTCACTGCCTGGGAAAGGGGCCACCAAGGAAGAGGAGCATCCAGAGGTACCACGATCCCACCCCAGAGCTTGGAGGAGGGCAGCATAGAGCTCGCTGCTACCAAGATGAACGCTCTTAAAATGATGTGTTTAAGCACACAGATGCTTTCGGTGCTGAGCATATGGACGATGCCTTTTTCCCCCCACCACCTGGCTATTAGAAGTCTTTTACTGTGGTCTTGAATGTCTAACACTAGCGATGACACGGAGGGAGGCGGCACCCTCTTCTTCTTCACTACCCACTCCAGACACGCCGCGTAGATTAGAGTTTTAATGTGTTCTTTAGCAGAGTCCATCTGAAATTTGGATTTGAAATTCTGTTTTTCACCCGATTCCTCCCTGTGAAGACACTTCAGGAGGCGGCACAACGGAGAGCTCGGCGGCAGTCCTGGCATTTATTCCCTAGCTGCCATCTCCTTTCCAGCACGACTTTCATGGAGCTGCTTCATCTCCCTCAGCCTCATGGTTAGGAAGGGAAGAAAGGGCTTTGCCCTCTTGTGAGCGCCGCAAGCATCAGCACGTGGGTCTTTTGCACAGCCCTTTGCTGTTTGAGGGTGCAAAAAAGCACAGGGAAGGCCTATGACAAGCAACACAGCCTAGAACAGCAGCTTCACCTCTTAAAACAACACTCAAGGACACTAGTGAGAACTAGGAATAAAAACAATCAAGAGCCCACAGACAAGGAGGAGCAGATGCATTGGGGCAATTAAAAAAAGAAGCCATTAAAGACAGGCCGCTGCTGCCATGAATCTGCTTTACGACGGAGAGGCTCCCTGCAGAGGAAGGCGCCTCGTGCACGCGGGGAAGCTGCGGGACGCGCCGGGCACGACGTGGCCCCGTTCGCTTTGTGTTGTGAGGGGCTTCACCAAAACGAGGGGTTTTCCGCCCTCCTTCTGCTCCCCAGGAATAAGTTTAACTTGGAGTGTTTTGATGACTGTTTTGTTTTCAAACTGTATCGCTCTGGGGAGGAATTTTCGCAGGCAGAAGGGGTACTTTTTACTAGATTATTTTATTTTTTATGGGGAATGTGAGAACAGCAGTGTCCATCAAAGCCAAGTCTGCAGTGCCCAGTGAGATGGTTTTGGCAAACCCTGGCACACAGGCTCAGGTGAGCAGGAGTGTCATGGGACGTACCAGGTCCAGCCTGAGCTGAAATTAGGCCAAAACCACTTTTCTGCTTCGAATACCTGACCTCCCTGGGCCACAGCTGCGTCCGCAACATCTTGCCACTGCAGTCACGTCTGCAACTGCAAAATAAACGTAGGCCGAAGAGTAAAACATCCTTGTGGATAGGGCGCTAGTCTATCAAACTTGTCCTTGGTCTGCTCACATGCAGGAAGAGGAAAGGCAAAGAAAACCATATTAAAGGCATTTGGACTTGGTGTCGCACCCTGAAATGTGGCAGGGAAAACAGGCTAAACTTCCCCCCAAGTCCCAAATTACTGCAGCTGCGCCAGCAGCAGTCAGCTCTGCTCTTAGCAACTCCTTCACAGGTTGTTCTCAGTGTCTCACCATATAATAATAAATAATCTCACATCCAGTCCCCTAATCCCCCTTTCTTCATGCCCAGAGTGCTGCAGCCATCAACTCTTAGGGTCCAAAATAAGCTCCATCAGAAATCAGTGCCTTTCACCCCAAGGACAGTGGAAAAAAGTGGCAGGGAGATCAGACAGGGAGGAAAGGAAGGGAGGAGGGAAAAAATGGGTAAAAATCAAAATTGCTAGCGGAGAAACACAGCTGCCCAGCTCCAGACCTAATGCACGTCCAGGCTGCAGGATAGGGCCAAGTTGTCACTTAAAGAAAAAAAACAAACCAAGCAACAGCTTGGGCACTAGCGACTCACAAATTCCGGCCTCTGAGAGTCTCAGCAACAAATAAAAATCACCGTTGTCAACAGACCTCGCTTCAACAGTTAGCAACATGGTCTAGTACAACCACGAGCAAGGCAACGCACTCCAATACCCTGGTATTGATCCGTTTTGGATTGCAGGGTGATGCTGAGAACACACTCCATGCTGGAGGTCTGCAACGTGTTTGCACTCGCGGGGAGGTT